TGGTGACATGTTTGTGGTTTGCAATCACGCGGACCACGTGTCCATGATGTTTGAAATATGCAATGAAACTCATCCCTATACTGAATCCAAAATGGATTATGAAGATCATAATTAGTTGCACTTCCTAGATCTCAACATAAAAAGGAAGAAATGATGGGACGGTTGAAATATTCGTCTCAAGAAAAAAAAGGAATGGTCAAAGTTTTTACTCAATCGGTCGCCAACGCAGCCTGATGAAAGCGTTCTTCAACAGAGCTGGGCGTTATAATTAGAAGACAAGATTGAAGGAAAACTCACAATTATTGAAGAGGACTTTATCGAGAATGGAAGCAAAAAACACCTACAGTTAAACCCAAAGCAGTCTGAAAGAAACAAGGTTTATCTATCTAGCGTATAAGTAGGAAGAAGTATAAAGAAGAACCGAAAATAGAATTAAAGGTGTTTTGAAAAGAAAATTCCTCGCCTCCAGACTGAGTTCAATGTACAATACGGTATGCATGTTAACCTGGGCACAAGTACATAAGTAGCCCGTTCGTATCAACTTCAACTGCATGTAGTAACTTAGTTGCAGTTGTGGCGGCAAGTACATAGGAAGGACTGAAAGGTGAGCGTCAACTACACTTTCTGAGCATAACCTTAGAATTTGACACTTAATTTTGATTCCGATTATGAACTTCATTTACTGAGTTAAGTTTGCTTTTAATTTTCAAAGTCGTCATAATATGTATAAATTCACTCTGCTGTCCCATCTTGTATTCTCTCTCTACTTTATCCTTGTTTCCAAGCGAAATCTGGACTCTTCACCTACTGTCTAGTTATATAAATAGTAACTCTTTTAACACTGAATAAGTCATCTACTTACACTATTTTCGGAATTATGTTGCCTACACTTTCTACCCATAACTCGAAGTCACTGGAAAAAAGTATGGTCAGAAATCATTTTGTAACCTTTAGTTCGATTTGCTTTGTGTGTGCAGCTGAAGACAGTCTAGGAAATAAGTTCAGCTAATATTATCTTGCAAGTATGTTCGTCCTTTCTTTGTTCAAACTAATAAAAGGAAACTGGTTGCATGAAATCAGATGGGTTTTCCTTTTAGCACTCTTTAACCAAGAGTATCCATCACCTAAAAGGAGATCAAAATCCTCATCACCTTACTGATGAGCTTTTTGGCACCAATATTGATTCCATTTGAAACAGTAGTAAGCAAAGTGATTAGTTGCTGTAGAGCAGCCGACCGATCTCAACCATATAAAATCAATTCAATTTGTATGGTGATGATCAGTTTCCTAATTCACTGACAAAATTTCAAATACGACCTATGGAATGTAGTCAACACATTTTGTCAAAGAATATAACAGTAATCACTCTCCGGTTACGAGCTGATGTAAGTGTACTGCCATTGAGTGCAAGACTATCTAACGCTGCTTTTAGTAGACATGACCAGACAGGCAGAAACACAAGAATCCGACGATCGAAGCTTACCTTGAGCATGCAAAAGATTTTTTACTGGATTGGTAATTTTGAAGTTTCCTATTTTTTACCCTTCTATTATTTGTTCTATCCCCTTAACAGCCCTATACACTGTGCATCTTTCTGACATTTTCTTATATCCACGGTAAACATTATACCGTGAAGAGACGATTAACGTCTAATACCATACAGACTCGGAGTCATAGATTTGAGAAACCAGCAAGTTGGAAGAAGAGGCACATAGAGAGTACATTTCATAAAGGGAACATAGAAAAGACAGAGATTATGAAGATGACCAACCAATCAGTAAGAAAACCAACAAGTACCAATCATTATCAACTGAATGAATTCGAAAGTAGTCACTTCCTTTACATATCTGGCCAGAATCGTTTCCACTACAGGCAGTCGGCACGGATAAGAATGTCAAAACTAGAATCGAAAGTGCAATGAAGATATTCATCAATCTGAAATCAATTTGTAAATGTTCTGCATTCAGAAAGAAGAATAAAATTCAAATTTTAAATACCAACGTTAATTCTTTCGGTAGTTCTATGTGGATCAGAAACTTGGTGAAAGCGTCACAAAGAACATTTGCAACAGGCTGATTCAAACTTCTATGAACATCTGCCATCACTGACTTCATGTTTTGGATCAAGAGGTCGGTAGAAAGAATTATCAACAAGAAACTCTGGGAACAAACGAATCGAAAAACTATTACCCTAAATGGAAATGGATTAAATACACACTCAGAAGACCATTGAATGATATTGAGCAATAGGTCCTTTAGTGAAACCCTTACAGGAAATGACGAATATGAAATGGATGTGATCATGTTGGGAGGAGATAACAGCCTATGTAAGACTCCAGGACCATCTGAAGACGACCTTAGCGAACATGACAAACTGGAGATGTGTTGATAAAGTTTTATGTTCAACTTGGAATGGAAGGGAACTGTAATTATCAATAAAAAGCTGGTCATTCCGACATTAAAGCTATTTGTAGTTAGGCATTCTATTGGGAAACTTCATTGACTCCAAGCAGATAACCTCTTTCTCAATTAAGCACTTGGACAAGCAGTATTACTGTGACAGATTAATTGATGTTTTCTGACCGATTCGTCTTCTAAACGTTAGGTTTTAAGAGATTCAAATAAACACAGGATGGATTTCGTTGCAACTTCTGACTACACTGATGACACTAATTTGTATGTGCATCATGTCGAAAATAGACAGAAGTCAAACTCCGCTGGCTATTCTTTTTCAACTCAGTTACTGACTAGTAAAATTGATCTGTTAGAAATGTTTAAAGATGTTATGTGAGGTCTCCTGTTAGAATTATGTGATGGGCACTGTTTCTCTTTTGAGTACGTTTACCTCTCAATAACACTCTAGGTGAGAGTTATTAATAATAAGAACAGTTTTATTATAGGCAGTATGTTAACGCGGTCTACTAGATGGCATATTCCTATTTTGAGTTAGCGTCATCATTATCTGGTGGGTATTAGTGTGTTTCAATAAGTAGGTCAAAATATGCCAGCATATTGCCACTCTTACCCATCACATCGCTGAGATATCAGCGTCAAGCCAGATGTGCCGACGAAAGTGAGATAAATGCAACGCAGTTAAAGTTATGCTATTAATAATGTGTACTCCAGAAAAAAAATTTTCTAACGCAAAATTTCATTTAAAAAGCATTCAAAAGAGTATAACTTGTCTTAAATCACCATAGCGCGACCGACTATGACGAAGCAATTAGCGAAGATATGCAAAAGAAGTCATTCTGTTAAAAAATACTACAGAATTTTCAGCCTATTTAAATTACAAAATAATAATCTACCTTATTCCAAAAACAGTACTTATAATACAAAATGCAATTTTCAGCATTTGTCCCAATATTGCATCTGATATACTTAAAATATAAGTAAACTTAAGTAGATTAACCAGAGGAATTTGTCCACAATTACGATATTAAGTCGAAAATATTCGACGCACAAAATGAGAATAATAAATATAATAATAACAGAGAGCTTTTTCAAACAGTATTGTCGATTCAGTTTGGAAATTTCAGCATGTTATAGATTATTGAATCTAATGTTCTGCTGATATAGTATGATGTAGAGAAAAACAAAATTAACAGTTATAACACAGCTTAAATGATGTTAACACTTTTGAGAAAATAAACAAAACAAAAATGAGAGGATTATAAATATAAGAGGAATAATAACAGTAAAGCTTGATGTTATAGGGATGGAGAAAATTGTTTATTTACTAGTGGAAAGAATGTTAGTTAGCTAGTTCGTGCCTGATACGATTTTTATCACATCAGATACGTGCCAAATATGGTATACTGGAATTTTTATACTTAGACGTACGTACCTAAAGTCTTATGAAAAGACTTCTTGTTTTACCTGAGGAGAGACACAAGGTTGGAGCTGCGGCTAAAGTGGATGCTCACAGTCTGACGAAGTTCCTTTAGCAAATTTGTTGCATGACATCAGGTGCCTATCAGTAACAATGTCAACGATATGGCCTAACTACATACCACTCGCCCTACTGACAGTCTTCAGAATTCTACGAAGTATGACATAGTCTTTTTAAGCAATCCAGGAAAGAAAAAGGGTGAACAGTAAAGAAGAATAGGTAAAATGCACGAGTTGACAAACTGTAAGAGGAGGAGGGTTGAGTTATGCCTGAGTGCCTTAACTTCTTAATGTAAAACGTCAAACGAAATATTCTTTTAGAAATCTCTAAGACATAGGAAGACCAGGATAGGTCAGAAGAAAGAACTAATCCAAGATACTTAACTTCAGACTTGGTTTCTATATCAGTATCAACGATTTTGCAATGATCATAGGAACTAACAGATTCATCACTTAACTTTCTTTTACATCGGAAACTGAAATTAACAGTCTGACATTTGGAAGGATTTAGTTTAGACCATTTGTTGACTCCTGAATGAAAGCTACTCATCTTAGTACAGTCTAGTTGGGAGTTAACAGACACTGAAATAGTTAAATCGTCCGCATACATAACAAAGTTTATTTAATCTACCCTTCGTACAGAATCTTTAAATAAAATAGTATTCGGCAGTACATCGTGTGTGATGCTGCATTGTTCCATCTGAGGGAATATTCAAATCTTTACGATATGTTTCTTTTCTCATTTCTGTTGAAAAGGGATCCACAAAACTGCAATCTAAAATTTTGCGGTAGTTCATATAGCGATCCAAAAAACATAATTAGATGACTGAAACAATGACTAAGGGAGAAGAGTTTATGCAGCATTATACCGAATGAAAATTTATGTAGTCCAGTGATTTAAACAAGCCGCCAGAAAAAATTTAAATTTACAGTGAATTCACTAACATTTATATCAGTTGATTCAGTCAATATTTTGATCCTTTGAAATGTGAATTCTATTTTCGCCTTACCATAATAGATACTTAGACTATCATGCTACGATCAAAAGAAGGTAATAATTTATAAGCGAACCTGATCAAAAGCTTTTTTCATTAGTCAAACATTTCTTACCATTGCCGAATATCCGGTTCTTCACAGTACCTACCACCCCAACCGTATTGACATTGACAAATAAAATTATAACCATCTTGGCTTGAAATACACGTTCCTCTATTTCGACAGATTACCTAAAATGTGAAATTAAATATAAATTATTAATTAATAATTAAATATAAATTAGATATTAGCCGCTTCTCTAGGAACTTGATTTTTCTTGCTCGCTCAGGAACACCCACCAGTGTGACTAAATAAAGGCGTAGTGAAAAATCACATGACAAGAGAGTTCAAATTTCAAGTTCATGAAGATGACCAATGTAAAAATTGACAATCAATGACGACTGAGGTTATCAGGAGATACAGTTACACCATTCACACGGAGAATTAGAACAAGTTCACTTTATACTGAAGCTTATGCTGACGACGTTGTCTAGAAGGATAACTGAGGATAAAACCAAATCGAAATTATCCATCTGAGCTGCAAATCTCCTCTATGATTTCTAGTTGGATCATTAATGAAGATCAGTTGAAGAACCATTCAAAACCAATGCAGTGACTTGACCTATACACATGCTCAAACTGTCTGTGAGAATAAAATATATCAGTGTTAAATTTCTTATTTCAACTTATGATGTCACAAGTCTGAGAATGATATGAAAATGTATTTGATTGACTTTGGGGAATGCTGCACAAAGTTAAGTAAATCAACAAGATATAATGAATACAGTTTAATATAATAATAATAATTTACTTTATTCCAAAAACAGTACTTAGAATACAGAATGGAATTCTCAGTATTTGTCACAATATTGCATCTGATTTACTCAAAATATATATGTAAATAAAATTAAAACAAAATTAATCGGAGGAATTTGTCCACATTTACGACACAATTATTAGATATAATAAAAAGAATAATAGTAATAACAGTGAGTTTGTTTCAAACGGTACTGTCGATTCAGCTTGGAAACTTTAGCATGTTATAGATTATTGGGTCTAATGTTCTGTTGATATGGTATAGTGAGGAGAAATACAAAATTAACAGTCATATTACAGCTTAAAATTATGACCACACTTATGAAAAGAAATGAACAAAACGAAAAAACTGAGAGGATTATAATATAAGAAATACAATAACAATAAAGTATGATGCTTTAAAAGTGAAGGAAATGGTTTATTTAGTGATGCAAAGAAGGTTAGTTAGTTCATTTCTGACGCTATTTTCATCACATAAAGTACGTGCTAAATATGGTATAGTGGAATTTTTATACTTAAACCTACGTGCATTAGGTCTTCTGAAAAGACTTCTTTTAACTGAGGAGACACAAGGTTGGAGCTGCTGGTAGAGTGGGTGCTCAGAGTCCGATAAAAATCACTGAGCTGCTCCACACCGCATCACATTTATAGGATTTCCGAGGCTTAAAGGCTCTCTAAAATGTAACATGACTTTACCAGAATTCAAAATTATTCACCATTAACTTTAGTCCCCCTGATGAATTTATCAGATAAATCGAAGGTACTGACTTATGTTGTTACTAACATCTTCGAACAAGTACTTGCTAGGAATAAATTCAAACGTTTCCATACTCCCCAAATGTGTCACAAAGTTGTGATATAAATAAAAAAGTTTCAGTGTTTACCAAACAACCGCTAAGAAAAGACGTTTTCATATAATTACTCAGAAATAGCTTTAAAAGTAAAATATAACAGTTGTTAATTACGTAGTACTTAATGGTACAAAGGAAGAAATGTTTGAAAATTTGATAAGATTAAAATAGCTATTGATCGATAATAAAACAAGTGTGAATAGGGTGATAAAATGTACAAAAGGAACATATGAGAGTGATAATAGTGAATTAATTATTATTAAAGTTAAAGCACACTGAGAATTATAAATTATAGGGAACGACTAATGAAGAGGTCAAGACCATGGTAGAATAAGAGACTAGACAAACGTTTTCAGTATACAAAGTTTGGGGTTGTATTGACGAACCGCCAGCTTCTCTGCCATAAACAAAAGCCGAAACCAGACGCCATTTGTACCAATTGGCCTCACCTTGTAGACGATCGATAAAAGACGACTCTTGTGGAGCTATGTGGCTTGAGTTCACCAAGTGCTCGAGAATTGAGCTAGTAACTGTCTTAAATAGTCCTTTTGCAAAACACGCCGAATAATGTTCATAGATGCGTTTGGAAAGTGTGCACTTTGTGCGATCAATATAACTAGCTCCACAAGAGCAGGTTTGGGGTTAGTTATAGTATCCTATACATTTTTGGTGAGAACAAATCTTTATTCATTCTTGATTACACTCAATTAATGAACATACTTCGCTGTTAACCTAATACTGAAATTTTTCTGCAAGAAACTACTCAAACTGCACGCGAAAGGCAAGTCTTCTCATTGAGCCACTTCAGCATGCATATAACAGTTAACTGGATCTTGTGGAGTCGATTTCATTGGCCGTACCATGCGTTCACCAGCACAATGCACCCATTGACACTATCCAGCCTTTTTAGCAAAGGGAGAGCGCAAGTGTGTATATAGTTTTGTAACAGGGCATCTGGTTTCATTTGAAAAGTCCTTGAATGTCGTATACAAGATCCGATAAAACTCCTCAAGTGGAGTGAGATCAATGCACCCATGCCTAACTGAATCACTAGCGATCAAGACGTTCAAACCTCCACTGTGCATTCGAAAGAAATATGTTCAATCCTTGAACTACCATGGCCGGCATAAACATTCATTTCTCTCAAAAGCGGTTATCTTATTGTCTTTCCGATCAAAATTCTTGGTTATTTCTGCTATTTTTCGTTCAATAATGACTATTAACACTGTTGTGCTTTCTGTCTCAATTTCCTGTCTATTTTTTTATAGCTACATTTTTACCCCCAATTGCACAAGAAGCCAATTTTTTAAGTAATTGTGATCCTACTGTGATTTTTATTCGATCTTCCTGTCTATTGTTACACTTTAATCCCTATTTGCAAACTTGTTAATTTTGCCCCTTGACGGCAAAAATAGTTCTAAAACTTTCTCACCTGTTTACTATAAATACACGAATGCACAGCCTAGTTCATGACTTTATCGAAAACAAGAATTTCATCACTGCCATCTCTTTTATTTTTCCTGTGAAGCGGATTATTATTTTATTTTATTTATTCCTTTACGTCCCCCAGTGAAACGTTGGGCTACAAGCTACAGCTTTGAGGCTTTGGTAGTAGTGGTTTAATTTTTACGGAATGGAGTTGCTATAATCACTTCCAACCTTCCCTCTTTACCGGCTTTAATACTGGCTTAGTGAAATTTAGGAGTGTGTCAGCCTGGTATCAAACCCCTGACCACGTTCATGGTTTTTGACTATTCTACCTCTTAACCAACAACGCACCGATTCACTGAATTAGAGAGAAAGAAATCACAAACACCTAGAGTGTTTTCAAAAATTCCTTTACGTTCCCCAGTGGAACATAGGGCTTCAAGCGAGACGCTCAAAGTTTCAGTAGCAGTGGTATTTAGCTTTACGGGATGGGGTTGCTAGCATCATGCCCAACCTTCCCTCTTTACCAGTCTTATTACTGGCTTAGTGAAGTAAAGGAGTGCATTGGCAGAGGATTGAATCCCGAACACCACGCGTGGTTGGCGAGCATTCTACCGATGTGCCGCTGTCCCACTTTCTAGAGTACGCTTCACTAAAATCACTAGGAGAATATCACAGATCTTCGTTTTATAACCTTTGTTATTTCTTTAGATTGCATTGATTTCACTTAAAATGCGCATCAGTAAAGTTCTTCATTTTCTTCCGTATTACTTTATTTGATTCAATCGGCTGATATTTTGAGCACATTTTAATTGCTCTTAATCCTTTCAGTGTACTCACATAACCGTCTAACTTGTTTAGTAGTGTACACATATACATATGTTTAGATACATAGCATGTAATGACTGTGAGATCAGTTGGCAGTCTGCTCAAACCACTAGGCTATCTGAATTTCCATTCGAAAATGTATACCGTATTTTCTTTGTTTTATACGGTTTAAATCATTCTTCTATAATTTCGAACCTCAAAATCTACTCATTTAGCGTTAGCCAGGTTATTAAAACATAAGAATTAAGCTTGATCTGGAACGATGGATCAGCTAAGTAAAAAATAATTTTGGAAAATGATCGACCAGAGCTATCACTTTATTTGCATGCAATTTTTTGATTATAGCTTGATTCCACACCGTATTTTTAGTACCAGTATGTAATTTTCAGCATGTGATATCAGTAGCCCAGATTTTGCAGGCCGACCATTGGTATCAGGTGTGCGTCGGCAGGGGATCAAACCCCAGACCACGTGCATGGTCGGCGACAGTCCTAACCACTATACCACCAACGCACAGTAGAATGGGATAGAGTATCGGAAAGCATCAGAAGCACTTTTATAGTCGGTTGAAAAGAGATGATAATGGAGTAATTATTTGGAACTGACTAACTGACTGACTGAAACTTATACAGGCGTTTCAACTATGTAAAAACTTTTTCCTTTACTACTAGACTGTATATCATTTTCCTCAAGTTTGCAGATCATATGTTAGCTTGATCCTTATTATTCGTCTCTGTCACTGCCTGATCTGTCATTTTAGTACTTCTCTTTTTGTAATTGTGTGATACATCGACAATGTGTTCTTTCATTTTGCGATTTTGTTTTACTGAATGAAGGCAATTTTGAAGTTGGACTGTCTTTGTGCATTGTCAGGGTATGATTCCTATGGACGAGTGCTTCCAATCCGACCTTGTTTGAAATATTCAACTTTATTCTAAGGTATCCTTCTTTCAGCTGAATTTCCGTTAACTAACTTGTTTCGTACCTAGAAATTTAGCTTGTCTACATAGCTGCCTAACAGCACTGTTCCGGTTATCTTTTATTTTTATTATTTTCTATAGATGCTTCGTAAGGATTAGATTTGCTTTAACGAGTTGATCATGGATTGATATCAGTTAGAGAACCATTGAAAACCAGCACCAAAGTACTGGACAGTTGTTTCATCTTAGTTTAGGAATCATTGGCAGTACGCACCCACCACAAGCGTTCGAATTTATAACCTTCCGGTTACAGGGCAAGCTCGTATACTATTCAGCCACTGGAACCTGATTCACTGGCCAGTCCATGAATTCTAATTTCTACCAATTTGTGATTTAGCGCGACCACCAACCAATGTCATTGGTGAGACATCCATCCTCACACTTGGCTGGATGGATCCCACTGGTCACGACTTCTCATTAGAATTCCAGGAAACTCCATCCTGCAGCAAGTCACTAAAGAGCGTCAGATTAATTTTCTGTATTTGATCACGAAATGGTAGAAATTAGAATTCATGAGCCATTTAATTGGGTCTCGATGGCTGAATGGAATACGAGCTAGCTTGCCTTGTAACCGGAAGTCACTGGGTTCGAACCCTTATGGTGTGAACTGCCGATGATTCACAAACTAGGAGTTTTATTATTGTTGAATTAGACCCCACGGATTTGTCGATGAATAATCATGTCATGGAATATACACATTTCATCATGAGGGAATAATAAAAAGACAATTGTAACGAAGAAAACTTTCTTTTCGACGAAGTCATCAACTAGGCTGTACATTCGTGTATTTATAATAAATGGGTGGTAATGTTCCAGAATAATTTCCGGTCAAAGGCCAAATTAATAAAATCACAATTAGAAATTAAAATTCCTTAGTAAGCAGGGGGACGGACAAAACTCAAACAAAGTAGCATCAGATTTATTGAGAAGATTGACATGTTGTACAGTTAGGGGTAGGAAATGTAGAAATAACAAAAACAGACAGGATGTTGGGATAAAAAAGCTAGTGAGATCATAACTAATGTGACGAATAATTGTTTATGCAATCAGGGATTAAATATGTAGAAACAATAAAATAACAAAATAGACAGGAAGTTCGGATATGAAAATATGGTAGTGTAAATAGGGATTAAAAAATTACATAAATAAACAAGAAGTGTGGATAAGAAAGGCAATGGGATAGTCATTATTAAAAGAATTACCTGTTTATGATAAATACACGAATGTACAGCCTAGTTGATGACTTCATCGAATAATCATGATTTTGCTGTCTATGCAGCGTTTTGTGACTGTATGCGTGTGTTTATCTCAAGAAAGTTTCGGACAGCTATACACTATGACTCAGAGATCTCCTTCCTGAAGTTCGTACCACAACAATATAATTTTGGTCATCACAGAGTCTTTGTTCACCGAATCAGTACCTATTGCATGCGAATGAAATGATGCAACAATTTTCGTGGATGTGCGAAATGTAACAGGGAATAAAGCTATGTAATACAAATCAGGAAGCCGTGTGAATTCATTGCCATGACAATGTGCAATACAGTAAATAACACTCGAATAAACTTGCTTATAATATGGAAAGATACTCTACGAAAGTATTTGAATTCCACGCTTACGTTGATTCATTTCACTTCAGATCCCCACACTTGCTACTTCCCAAAAAATGGAGTAAAACACAGGGAAATGTTTTATAGATAAGACCTAATTTACCAACTATGACCATTAATTAACGATTTAAACATATGGACCTTCTATATCTCAATAATTAGCGTTTAAAAGTCGTTTTTTCTTTCTCTACATCCAATTAGATCATAACTACGAAAAGAACATTTACTCTGTATTCACAGATGTTTTCGGTAATTCTACATTAAACATCTGTGAACAGAACATGAGTTTGAAAGAAAAAACCTTTTGATCCAACTTTTTAGACATTGTACGCATAATAAAACGCTCTCCTTCATAGTGTAGAATAAAAAGTTAAAAAATGGGAAACTTTCTAATTATTCATTCATGGTTAATATTGTTTTCAAGAAAATAATGTGAATTTGGAGTTTCACTGAAGATATTCTATCCTTTCTGATTTTCTTATAGGATATAAACGTTGTACTTTACACTTTATTTCATTAACGCATATTGCTAAATGCTTAAAAATGAATTAGGACTATTCATGTGAAAACATCGAGTCATGCATTGATCAAATCGTAACACTATGGATCATCATTGAACAGAGTTTGGAATGGCAGTCAGCTCTCCACCTCACTCAACTTCATTGACTTTTAAAAGGCCTTCGGTAGCGCAGCGGCGATAAAGAGGTGATTTGAAAACTACTTCGCTATCATGGGGTGACGTTTACAATTATACATCTCATCCAACAGCTGTACGACAATGCTGCATGCTAAGTAACCCACAACGGTAAACTTACGGAATCCTTCGAAGTCAGGACAGGAGTAAGACAAGGCTGTCTACTATCACCAATGATTTTCCTGATTGCAGTAGATTGGATAATGGGACAGAGAGCGGCATGCAGCGAGGAGACAGGCATAAAATGGACCCACACAAAAACTTGGAGGATCTGAACTTCGCGGATGATATATGTCTGATTTCTCACAAACTGGAAGATATGCAAGTGAAAAGCAACAAGTTGGCGATAGAAGAAGCACCAAAGATAGGACTTCGGGTAAACATAGAGAAGACAGAGGTAATGAAGATTCCTGATCAACAGCAACAGCAACAACAACAGACAACAATCAGCATGAATGGGAGAAATCTGAAAGAAGCAACTTCCTTCACCTACCTACCTACCTACTCACCTGGGAAGCATCGTTTCAACTAAAGGCAGACAGAATTGATGAGGATATCAAAGCGAGGATCGGGAAAGCAAGGTAAGCTTTCATTTATCTCAGGTCTGTGTGAAAATCAACAGCACTCAACATGAATAGGCTTGGATCCAGTTAAACATTTTTTCGAGTTTATGTTGTGACACAAGGACACAACTGGAAGATTAAAGAACAAAAAGGTGGAAAGCGTTGATGCACTCTGTTGGATGTAAATTTAGGTTCTTCAGTGATTTAAACCTCTACCTCAATTTCAATGACTTTGAAAAGGCCTTCGACAGCGTCGACCGAGACGTAATTTCGAAACTACTTCAACACTCTGGCGTGCAGTGCCCAAGTCCCTATCAACCTCATTCAACAGCAGGCTACGTGACAATAAAACGTGTCAGGTGATTTACAACGGGTAACTCAGTGAGTCATTTGAATTGAATACAGGAGTAAGACAAGGCTGCCTGCCTATTATCACCGATGATATTCTTAAGTGTGGTGGACTGGATTATGCGGAAGACTGTGAGGAGTGAGGAGACAGAAGTACGCTGGACCACCGATAAGCAAATTGTAGAAGACCTGGATTTCGCTCGTGGATGATTTATGTCTAGTGTCACACAAACTTGAAGACTTACAGGTGAAAACCAACAAACTGGCTGAAGAGGTAGGCAGCGAAGACAGGACTACAGGTGAACATTAAGAAGATGAAGATGATGAAGATACTCACCAATCACCATCAACGGGAGAGATTTAACAGAGGTTACCTCCTTCACTTATCTGGGAAGCATCGTTTCAACTACAGGTTGAACGGATGAAGATGTCAAAGCCAGTCAGAATCGGTTAGGAAAGATACGCCTTTATCAACCTGAAACCAATTTGGGAATCTTCTGGACTAAAAATAAGGAACAAGATTCGGATTTTCAACACCAGTATCAAGTCGGTTCTTCTTTGCGTGTCAGAAACTTGGCTAGCATGTAACTAAAAGTATTTTCGACAGATTGCGGACTAACATCAACAGCTGCCTTCTCTGGCTCCATACTGAAGATCAAATGGCGAATCAGAAGGAGTTAGTAGCAAGAATCTTTGGCTGGGAACAAACCAACCAAGAGCCGATTGTTTAACAAATATGTACGATAAAATGGAAATGGATTGATCAGGTATATGTTGACGAAACCGCCGATTGATATCGCGCACAATGCAGGCCGCCGCTAGGGTGGAACCCGAATGGGAAGCGGCAAGTGGGTCGTCGGTAAGAGGGTTACATGAAGGAGATCGTGTGAGGAAGAGGTGAGAGTTTGGGCAATCGTGGACTCAGATAAAGATAACAGTAGAGAATAGAAAATAAGGCAGATGTGTTGGTGAAGCCCTATGTTCCACTCGGAACCCAAGGCAACAATAATAATATTGATTTAAACAGGATGCCGTCTCTTTACAACCACACCATCACTGGCTATTCCACTAAGTTCTTAAGGTAAAAACAGAGCTGTTTCAACTAACTGATTTATCCTTAACACCTGAACATTATTTGTTTGTTAACCGAATTTTCAAAGTGTTTCTTTTCAGAAATTCGACTGGTTACAAGTTCGATCACGAGATGACATCAATTAAAGAACCATACACAAGAAGTACTGAACATCTGTTTCCTCCTAGTATGGGACTCTTCAGCAATACGTACCCACTCGAGAGCGAACCCAGGAACAGTTGGTTGCAGGTGAAGTTCGTAGACCATTCAGCCACTTGAACCCGACCCAATAGCCAATGCATTCCAACTTCTATCATTTTGCAATATACACAGAGCAATGGTCAGCCAGCAGTGTCCACCAATTCAGGTAAGAGACCAATTACTTTTCTGTGACACTGGTTGACGGTTACGCTACATATATGAAGAATTGCCAGAACTTGGAATACAATGGATCGCGTCCAAGTGGATGAGTGGCCTACGAGCTAGTCTTGCAACCAAAAGGTCCTGGGTTCAAACCCCGGTGGGTGTGTACTGCCAATGAGTCCCAAACTAGAACGTAATCGCTGTCCAGTACTCCCTGCTGTTCTTCTGATGTTTCTTTAACTGATGTCTAATGTCTCTTCAAGTCATAACTAACATTTTTAGAAATCAAAGGACTACATAATAACAAGTGAAACAAACTGATATTCAACAAATCTAACAATAACTTACATTATCACAAATACTCTTACGTCCATAACAGTTATAAAATGGATATTCTGGTGAATATTTATAATCACCAATACAGGTACATGTATAATAGTTTGAACCATTCACAGGATTACATCTATTTCCTAAATATGTACGACATGCTTCATTACCAGATACACGACCAGGTAAAGTATTCTAGAAGAGAAGAAAAATATTAATTACTTAGTAAGAGAACCATTGAAAAACAATGAAATATTCAAGAGTTGTTTCGTCCCTGTTTGGGACTCTTCATTAGTCAAGTATCTACAAATCAGCACTTGAAGATGAAGATCTATTTTGTGACTGAAACTGCTTGTAGTATTTTAGTTAGGCAGCCGTTATCACAGGAGTTTAAACCAAGTGCCTGAATGATCAAAAAGCTCACTTTGTAATCCAAAAGTCATGTTTTCTTCGTCCCTTGGTGGTGGTCACGGCGACTCAATACTCCTTGATTTTCAGTGGTTCTCTTAATGGAGCCAAATCCATATAAATCAACCACTTGAATACCTTTCTTGGCTTTTGGTTTCAAATTGCATGTACATGGATATGAATAATGTGTAGAGATACATTTAATGTAAAGCAATGGAATTTGGCAGGAAACCCCTCCTCACCTAGGTTTCGTGCTATTAGGCGTTCACCAGTCCACAGGACAAGTCTGCAACATTGAAGAAGCCTATTTCCTCTCTGAGATTCAAACAAGCGTCACCCAATTCCGCAGACAGAGGAGTTACCACTGAGCTATTCGGGCTTGCAGATGACTTCCTGTAGGACTGTATTCGATATTTTTGAATTGACACTAGTCAGTGACTAATTTGATGTGTCTAGTCCTTTGTTTGGTGCAGACTGAATTCTATCAGTCAAGTCCGTAATGCATTTACCATGGTAGGTGGCTTTCAATCACGGTGCACTGTGAATTGTTGGTATTAGATGGTTGGATGTAGTCGGCAGGAATCCTTGAACCTAACGTCTCTGATTGCAACAATTGGTCAAATGGATTTAAATTTCATACGAGACATGAGTTCCTTCAGTGTTACAGATACGCCCTGCTGACTGGTTATGGTGTCGAATAACACGAAACCTAGATCAGGAGGGACTTTCTTCCAACTGCATCCAGCTATCTAATAAGAATAATTCAGAGTGCACCATGATGTCAAGCTACCCAGTACGGTGGCCATATTACAAACGAGACCAACGAAATTCAGTCTGCAGACAACAAAGGACTAGATACATAAAACTAGTTACCTACTAGCTATTGTTCAATCAAAGTATATTTTCAAATGGTTGTTTGTAAGGAATGATTTCATGGTAGATTTCGTTGTCAACAAATATCATTTAATGAACAACTGAAGCCATGGTTGTTCAACGGATTCCTACTTATGACGAAATACATCATTGGAGAAATTAGTGCTGCACCCCACTGACTGATTTGTATGCTACTTGAAAATCCCCATTCGGTCATATAAAAGAAAAGAAGGCGTTCAGCGAAGAGACTCTTTTCGGCGAATTCATTCACTGAGTGGTACAACTGCATTTTTGTTTGTGTGTGTGTACGTTAGATTTATAAAGTTTAGATAATTACGTAATATAAGTATTATTTGGCTTGGAAACAAACGTTAATAGATTTAAATTGATTAAATGAATTGGATGACGTAATATAACTGAGCAGATTTCAGAGTGTGCGTCGGTGGCATAGCGGTTAGGACGCTCGCCGACCATGCACATGGTCCGGGGTTCAATCCCCGGCCGACGCACTACTTTGCCTCGCTAAGCTAGAAATAATGCTGGTGAAGAGGAAAGTTTGGGCATGAGGCTAGCAATCCCATCCTGTAAAATAAACACTGCTACAGAAACTTCAAGCCGCTAGCTTGAAACCCTATGTTCCACTGGGGAACGTGTAGGATAAAAAAAAGATTTCAGAGTAGGTCAGGTTGGCAACAATGTTAATGAGTGGTGATTAAAATTAAATAAGGGTGGGGGTAGAGAATAATACAGTTGAAAATAAGTAAGTTAATTGGATGACTTAACATAGTTGACTAGAAATTGGACGTGGGTGGAGTTAGCAACATTGTTAATGAGGTTAGAGATTACAAAAGGGTGGGGTAGAGAATAATACAAATGGAGATGTGAAATAATAAAATGCAAAAGACAAAATAATACAATTAGTAAGACTGAAATTAAGAAAGATTATATCGATTGTGGATTTAATGAATGAATGAATTTATTTTGTATGCAGAGTTCAGGATTTAGTAGACAAATTGCCATTGTTTCTGCGATGTGGAGAAGTTTGATCAGTACACTTTTAGCAAGTTTGCCTTTATTCTGTAGATAACTCTGAAGTTTATTTGTGGTTTGACTTGGTGTCCTGAATCGATCAAATGTTCAAGGATCGAGCTTTGGGGGCATCGGTTTTCTCCTTTCTCCTTTACTAACTGTAAAATCAACTAAAGGATTTTATTCAGGGATCTGACTGGTTATATGAATTTCGACTTGAGTTGAAATTGGTTACAGAGCCATTTGGAAAACCTATGAGTACTCTACAGGTAGTTCATCCTAGTTTGAGGCTCTACATCAGTACACCCTCCACCGGGGTTCAAATCAAAGAGCTTCTGGTTACAAGGCAAACTGAGGAGTCCTAAACCAAAATGAAACAAGGTGCTCAATACTCTCAGGTTTTTCAATAGTTCTTAAACCGATGTCAGCTCATGGTGAATTCTTGTAAAGGATTTTAGTTTTCCTGACATGCGTGATATTTCGTCAAAGCAAACATTAGATTTACCTTCTCTAGTATTTATTCCTCTTTAACAGACGTTTTCCTAGTGAAAAACAGATTTTCTATAAAAAAAAATGTTTACATTTTGAAAGCAGTTGAAAGAGTGGTTATTTAATGATAACTACGCAATTTACAAATTTGTTCAATTTTCATTGTCATAAGGACTTAAATGTTCAGTGATGTTGAAATATTGAACACTATTAAAGTTTAATTTTTTTAATCAAAACCATATTTAAACAAGACATATGAGCGAACAATGTTGCTTGTTTCAATTACATCTTCTTCAGGCTTTACTCTGATTTACATAGATTTATGCATAGAAAATTTAACGAATGATGGTGATTTCGTGGATCAAACAACAGTATATTAAATGTTTTGAAGGTTAGTGATAAACATGATGATAAAGATAACTGATGAAGAGTCCCAAACTAGGACGAAACAGTTGTCCAGTACTCCCAGGATTTCCAGTGGTTCCCTAAGTGATGTCAGCTCATGATTAAATCCTCCATCCAAACAAAATAATGATTTTAAATTTTATGCAGATGGCCATAAGAATAACAAAGGTAGTAATGTGTGTTTATGGGAGGCAATTCAATAAATAATTTAGGTCAAATCTTAAAAGTCATGTAATACTAAAAGTGAAGTGAACAAATAATCAGAGTTTTCGATTTGTCGAAAGCTGTCATGGAATGGTCAACTGGCAAATTTCTACAGCTGGGTACCCATTAGTCGAAAACAAAACCTGTTTTGGTCGCTTGCCACTCGTATTCGGCGCATATGTGACTCTGATACTGTGGAGGATGAGTAAAATCTTTTTAGGAAAATCCTAATAGAAAATGGATTTCCACTACGCCTTATAGACAAGAATGTACATTCAAATCCCATGAAACATTAATTAGCGTCCAGTATCAGGAAAAGAAGGATATCACAGTCCCTGGAAAGAACATTCCCTGCTGTATCTTTGAGAAGAGCCTTCACCAGTCGACCATTACTGTTCAATAACCTGCAGGGTAAGATCCTGCTATTTACCAACTATGTATGCGTTTATCAATTCATCTACTCGTATGGAGCCAGGTATATCTGTCGTTCGACTCGAGTTTTGTCCAAGAGGGTGCAAGAACACTATCCTGCATGGTTGCTGCGAAGAGGTGGAAGTGGAACAATAAGAAGCGCAATCATTGAACATCTGGTCGATGCTGATAAGCCTGTCTCTACAGCCTCTGTGATTAAAGTCATTTACAAGGCGAAAAGTAATTTACCCAAATCACTATGTACCCGACTCATCTGTATTGCTGAAGCTTTGGCTATCGAAACAGAAAAGCCAGATCTCTGTGTACAAAAAAGTTCGTTCAACCCCTCCAACTTTCTTGGTCTTAATCCCTTTATGCTAAAGTATGGTAATCCCCAATCATATTTTGGCTCTGCCAATTTTTCGTTTTTCATTTTGTCCATTCAATTTGTATTCTCTTCCTTTATTACGTCAGTTGTTACAATGACTATTCTCACTTTGATCTGCCCCCGGTATTATTTCACTTGTTCCACTTGTCATTCTAAATCAATTCTTGTTTTTTACAACGGTAAATTCTATGCTATCGAATTTCACACAATATTACGTAACGTTTTTTTATTCGATTCGTCTACTAATCCTATAATTGCACAGCCTTTTTCAAGTTCTATCCATCTTATGAATTATTCTATATATGACAATAACTGTTTTGCCACTTGACATTTAACTATGATTATAATCACAAACACACACACTATTATTATTATTTTATGCATCCATACCAATGATTCAATTCCCTCACAGGATATAATTTCTTAAAAGACCATATATGTATGTATATATATACGATTGGACAGCTTGATAATAAATTCGTTGAAAAGAGTCTCTTCTTTGAATCACTTGTTTTGATTTTCAATGTGTTACAATGGGAATTTTCCATGAATTAAAAAATATCATAAATGCACAAAGGACGTGGGAAGTAAGAAAGTGTGGGAGGGTTTTAATTAGAATTTATCTAGACTGAGGGAGAGACAAAAGTAGAACAAATTTCTTTTTTGCATGCAAAGACTGGGATTGTTCTCCCAAATTCCTATAGCTTCGACTATGTGTAAAAGTTGGGTCCGAATTCCACTCAAAAGGTTCGATGAAATGCGATAGATGACCTTGGAGGCACTATTTCTGTTCACTTGGTGACCACTATCATCAATCAAATGAGACAAAGTAGAACTTCTTATGGATTTTATTTGGTCTTTCCCAAACCATGATGGAAGGAAGATACTCATTATTATTTTTGCTGAGCTTTCTAGTTGTTCATCCTATATAGCTTTCTCTGCAAAAGCAGCTAAATTTTTAGATACATATAGGAGCTATACAGCTAGG